ACTCTGAGGGTGATGAGACACTGGAACAGGTTGCCCAGAGAAGCTGTGGATGCCCCATCCCTGGAGGTGTTCAAAGCCAGGTTGGACGGGGCTTGGAGCAACCTGGTCTGGTGGGAGGTGTCCCTGCCCAGGGCAGGGGGGTGGAACCAGATGATCTTTAAGGTCCCTTCCAACCCAAACCATTCTATGATTCTGTGATTTTGTAAGCAACTCTGCAGAGCACTTCCCTCTCTGTGTAACTCATGTGGCCCCTCATGACTCTGGCTAAGAGGGACCGGCGACCAGAGTTCCGTGTAGTCGGTTTCACAGAGTCACAGGGTTTAAGACAGCTGGGATGTACAGTGCTAAGCAATCTGCCCTCTTGCAAAACCCAGTACTGACTGCCTCTGCCAAGCCCACAATTTCCCTCTGAGCAATAATTTTGCTGTCTTGATTTAGAGATTTCCAGCAATGGGGAACCTGCTCTCCACCAGCCACCCCAGGTCACAGTGGTTCACAGCCTCCACGGGTTAAAAACAGGAGGGCATCTGACCAAATCTGAACCTGTCTGGCCTCTGCTCCAGATAACTGAAAGAGGTTCGGTTTTCTTAGTGTGGCTGAGTTTTGTTCACCTCTAAGCATCTCTTTGCATCAACCTCATCCAGGTCAGCTCTTTCCACTTCACCACTGCCTTGGGTGCAGCTGTGTCTGGTCATCCCCAGTGGCTAAAAAGAGCTGTGCTCTGGTCCCTGCTCTGATCCCCTTGACTTCCCTCAAGGCCATATGTTACACAAGATCTTCTCAGATGTTCAAACAAGAAAAGAGCCACCCCAGGGCTGGGAAAAGCCAAACCAACATCCTGCCTGTGCTGGGCAGGTTTCTCTAAAAGAAATCATAGTGGGAGAGCAGGACGGACACACAAGTCCTGTGGATGCTAATATCTGGGTGTATTTTTACTTAGAACTCACTGTCAGGTGCTGTCAGAGTCTCCAGTGACCCCCAGCACAAAAATTTCTGGTGATGCTGGTAGCACCAGCAACCTGAGACCTCAGTTCCAGCCATCCCTGCCTTCTTGCTGCCCCACGGGGAGAGGCAAGTAACCTGTCCCCAGAGCATCTCATGCGTTTAGTGAGAGACTGGTTTCAGCCTGGAAGACTGGTTTCAACCTGGAAACAGACTTTTTCATTACATTCAGGTCTAGCATGCAGCTTGTTCTCCCCAGGAGCATCTCCCATACCCCTGGGAACACTCGGGGCATCCGCAGCTCCCCATATTGGAGGAGTCTGGGTCTGCCTCATCCTCGAGTCCAAACCCCAGGCAAGTGGGTCATTAAATCTCTGTGATAACCTTCCCAAAGCTTCAGTAAGCCCAAACCTCACTAACAGCCTTTTGAACGACCACAGTGACCTACCAGCTGGGGACCGTACCTCCAGTTCACATCTTGCACATCTCCGTGGCCATTTCATCTCACCAATGCTGTTTTCTGATGTCAGTCAAACCTCCTCCCTGTTGTTCAGTGCTGCCAGAGAAGCCACTTCACCTTTCAGCCACCAATCTCTTGGAAGTCTACAATATGCCAGCTCCTGCCAGGTGGGACACCGCAGGATCCCGGAGCGATGGAAGAGCCGCAGGGATGATCCACGTAATGCCTGATCCGGAGAGGAACAGGAGTGGGAAAGCTAGCGTGTGAGATCTGACAGGCTCAAAACAAACCCAGCTGGCTGGCACACACCCCGAGCCCAAAACACCCCAGGCCACCCCCCCTCCCACCCTCCTGATACCATCACACCCCTCCGTATTTAATTAAAAAAGGATTAAAGCAGGCTGGAAGGACGTGGGCGACGGCTGAGGTCAGGGGGTGCCTTGCAAAGCTATGCCAAGCCCCACAGCTGGTGCTGGGACAGTGGGCTGCCTGCTGGTGATGCCAGCTTCTCCAAGACTAAGGCAGGTCTAATCTGAGACCCAGGTGACTTATCCGGTCTCTTGTAGTGCTCCAGGACAAGGATGGGATTGAGGTAGAGGAGCCCTCAGGGAAACTCTTATGCTGCTGGTAAGCAAGCAAGCAATGGCTGTGGCATTCCTCTGAGGTCTTCGTGCTGTCCCACTGACCCTTCCCAGGGCTTGTGTTTGCCCATGTCTCCTTCCAGAGCTCATGCCTTTATCCCACTTGAGCCACATGCAACTGTCCCAGCCCTGGCAGTGAGGTTCAGCTTGGGCAAGCTCTGTCGCAACAGTGCAGGCCGTTCCAGCCCGCTCCCTGCTTCCCAAAATCCAAATGTTTCACCAGGACAGAGTTTGGAGGCTTTTTCCAGCTAGAGATATGACAGGCAGGTAGGTCGTTCCAGATCCAGCCTCACAGAAAGCCCCAGGAACGTGCCTGCAGATAAGGCACAGTGCCAAGGAGTCCCCCATCTTAACCTGGCTGGAGGAGCCATGGTCATAGATGGCTGTAAGTCACCTCCACACAGGGGTCAACCTTGGGTTTAAAGCTTTATTATGGGTGAGTTTCACCTTCAGAGGGACCAGTTATTCACAGAAAGGTGGAAAAAAGCCTCAGCTGACTCTGAGAGGGTCATTCCTCCCCTGCACAGAGGTCTCTGGGAGCAGAGACCTCCACATGGAGAGACACAGAGGGCCAAGCAGGAAGGGTAGAGACACACAGAGGGACTGAGAAAGATGGAATTTGCTACCACAGAAATGAGGACATGGATCTGGGTCTGAAACCTACCTCTGAGTGATGGGACAATCTGTGTGGTGGCAGGAGAAGAGATGTCTTAGGCTGGTAGATGGACTGTACTGCACCAACGTTCCTGCTGTCAGCCCTTGTCTTGTATTGCTGCACGGAGAACTGACCTGCGGGATGCAAGTTGGTCCCTCAGCAGCAGCTTGGTGGCCACCCAAGCCTATAACTTGGAGCCAGTCCCTGCAAGGAGGACAGGTGAGTCCGTGGCATGTAAGTGCTTCCCGTTTTACCCAAATCAGTCTTGCACCCCCTAAAGTGTTTCAGTTCAGCCCCAAGCCCACCTCTTTCACAGTGGCTAGGCCATAACAAGCCTGAAGAGCTCAGAGAAGTTCCTCGTGGCCTTTTTAGCTCTTTCTGCTGTGAATTCATGGCTTTCCCCTTCTCCCCGTACCTCCATAGCCTAAGACAGCCCTGCTCCCCTCACAGAGGCTGCTCTGCACAGGATCTGACCCTTCTTTCAAGGTGTTTCTAAATGCTCCCAGTCCCAGCAGCCTCAGTAATTACTGCTGTCCTCTAATCAACCCATCGTCCTGTCACCCAGCCTTGGAAAGTTTTTCTCCCTCTTTACCTTGCACTTGCCAGAGACTGTCTGATTCATCCACTATCTGCCTCAGGCAACCCACGCAGCCGCTGATGATTGAGTTACTTAACAATTAAGCAGAGCCTTAAATCTTTGCAGCACTTAACATGTATTGACTAATTAATCCAAGCACCTATCTGAGGTAGGTTAGTTCAGTCTTGCGTGTAGCTTCCAAACATGCCCATGGCTGCCTCGCCACGTGTCAAAGGCAGAGGCAGGTCTGCGGAGGTGACTGGAGGTCCACCATCCATCCCCATGGCCCACACCTCCATGGGACCCATGCAGCACTGCCCCTCTGCATTGTACAACCCGTTGCAACTTCAGAGGTCACAGGGCTCAGGGGACCACGTCCCTAGCCCAAGATTCTTGTCCTGGATGAGCCACACGGGAGCTTTACCTGGATGGGCAGGTTGGGGACACACAGGGACACAGCCAGGGTTACGCAGAGAGCCCCTGGCAGGAGTCAGTACCCAGGTGACTCCTGGCCCTGGGATTCAGGAGAGGGAAAGGGAGGTTTGCCATAGCTATGGGTAGAGACTCAGAGAGCTGAGATAGGTTTCCAGCCACACAAGCCTTGGGTCCTCATCCTCAGCAAATCATCTGATTTTTCACTTCTTCCTCAGTCACTTCTCACCTAGCCAAGACTAAAGAAAAGTACCACATCCTTGTGCCCAACTGTTAGCTAAGGCCAAGGGAGACATGAATTTCCCAGAGAAGCTGTGGATGCTCCCTCCCTGGAGGTGTTCAAGACTAGGTTGGACAGTGCTTTGAGTGACCTGGTCTGGTGGGAGGTGTCCCTGCCTATGGCAGGGGGTTGGAACTAGATGATCTTTAAGATCCCTTCCAACCTAAACTATGCTATGATTCTATGACTAAAACTCCTGGCCATGCCATGCTGCTCTTGCACTAAAGTGTATAGGATGCCCCCCAGCACAAGGACAGAGACCCCAGAGGTACCTGACACTGTTTGACTCCCTGCCACCAAAAGGCCTCAGCCCACCTGAGTCCTCCAAGAAGCTCATACCCTTTCTCTTGTCTCTCCTTCTCTTGTCACCCCAGGGCTTCAGCACACTGACATCCCATCCCCTTCCCCGACAGGCAGGAGATGAGTCTTGAGAAATGGTTGATGGGAAGGAGCTGGCAGCAGAAAGGCACTCTGCCGAGCTGGGGAGCTGTGAAGCAGCCAGGCAGAAGAGAGCTTTGATCTGAACAACCTTGCTCAGGAAAGGCAGGACCAACAGAGTCAAGATCTGCTCAAACCAGGTGGTGTCTATAGCAGCAAGGTACTGGCTTGAGTCAAAAAGCATCAGCATCCACGTTATAAAGGCATCTCTGCTGCTTGTATTGATACCCTTCATGTGCCCTCCATCACATGCTGCTGAGGATGGGGTTCCTGCCTACCCTGTGGAGATACCATTTGCTTGCTTTTTAATATACAAACAACACGCAAACAGCGCCAAAGGCAGAAGAGAAACTTCCTCTCCCTGTGAAATTCCCCCCAGAAAATCCTGAGTTGTAAAGCAGAGGGACTTGTAGACCAACACTTTACCTCTGGGTCGCAAACCATCACATAGATTAGGAGGGAATTTTTGTATTTTTTTTTTTTTTCCCTTGCCTGAATATGTGCTGATCTCATTCATCTTGGGAAAAGCACGGGGTGTTCTCATCCAGGCTATACCTGGCAAGCTGCATACGCTGTGACAGAGGGAGAGAACTTCTGAGCAAGCTCTGCAGTGGCTGCCGCCGGCTTCCTTGGGGCTTATTCCTTCAGCGAGAGGCCGGCTTCTTCACCTGGCATTCTTGAGAGAGATGAAGGGTAAGTCAGCAAATCAGCTCCATGCACTGCAAACATCCTCTGCTTTCAAGCCATGGCAGAATTAGCTCAGGTTGGGGTTTGCTGGTAGCTGGGCGAGAAACCTCTGCAGGGCTTTTTCCTCCCCCCCCCCGGAGGGGAAAAAGCAAGCAAATGTTTTTAACGTGCTGCAGGGAGGCAGGAGCTGTGGTACCCGACCGACACGGCTCGGCAAGCGCTGCCGAGGAAATCAGCATGGGAATGTTCCTGATGCTATTTTAGACACCGGCAGAAAACGCCAGCTAGCAACGCGGAATTGGACGGGGCTGCAGAAAGCCAAGAGCAGCAGCAGCAGCGGCGGCCGTGAAGCCGTAGAGCAGGGATCCCCCCACACCCCACCGATGTGCAGGGCTGCTGGCTGGCAGGCTCACTCCATCATTGTGTCGATCTGTTTGCTAACTAAGAGGGGGCTTTGACATGTCAACCGGCATCCGGATGACAGCGGCTCCGTTTAGATCTGCCGGTTAAAAAACGAATGGGAGCTGAGCCGTTCAAAGGGATCCGCGCCGCCGCCGCCGCCACCAACGTGAGTGCTCCGGCAGTGGAAGTTGCATGCCTGGCTCCGAGGGGGGAAGGAAGCAGCTCTCGCCCAAAACCACCCCTGCTTTGCCAGCTCTCTCTGGCTTTGCTTGCCCGGGAGAGGATGGATGGAAAGAGGGCACGGTGCGGGATTGCTGCAGCCGGCGGGTGCTGCCAACGGCAGAGCGTTGAGAGTTAAAGGAGGGAATAAAGATACCGCTGCAACTCCTAGCTTAACAATAATGAATATTGCAGGGTCTGGCTACTGCAGGAAAAGTCCCCTTTGTAAATCATGCTGTTTGGAGTGAGAAGAGCAATTAGGTGGATTCTGCTGCGGCTCGTTTCGGTCAGGTTAATTTGGGAAGAGGATGTGTGCTGGCAGCTAAAGGAGGCAGCCTGGGAGACCGGTTAAAATGCAGAATTACCAGAGCAGGGTAGTGTTTGGAAATGGTATAATAATCTCAAGGCAGGGGAACGTGGTTAGGTATGTTTTATAGTCAGGAGGGGAGACACCTCAGTTTGGAGGGCTCCTCTCGTCTTAACTTTAAAAAAAACCCCACATATTTTCTGTTTTGCAAAGCCCAGACACCACGGTGATGGGCAGTGCTGAAACCAGCCGTCTGCCCTGCCGTCTGAATGCCAGGCCTTTCCAGAAACCCTGATTTGTGCAGGCAAAACAGCTCAGTCGCCAGGGACTTTTTTCACCCAGGTTTTGTGCGTGGGTGCGTGTGTGTGTCTCTGTGTGTGTGTGTGTGTATGTTTGGGGAGGGGGGAGGAGGCATGAACTGCTCCTTGTCCCCCGAGCCTGGCTCTGTGGCTGTATTACTGTAGCTGTGACAATGGGGATGACACGGGGCTGGGCTTTTTAACAGGAGAGTCCTGGCTGGGTTTAACGTGACGGTTGTTCCCGGTGCTTTCAGGGCTGAGTGTCAGGCATCTCGAAGCTAAAATTGGTGCCTGTTTCTCAAAAGCTGGTGTCAAGTGCCCAGTGCTACCAGGGGACCTGCATGGATGCAGCAAGGGTGGGAGGGCTGAGCAAAGACACAGCTCTGGCTGGGTTGACAGAGCAAAATGCCACGGAGGGCGAGTTGGCAGCGTTGATTTGGACAGACTGGAGATGGGAAAGGAGGACAAATAGCAGCAAATCCTCCCGGAGAAGAGGTGAGCAGGGATCAAAAGGGAAAGATGGCATTTGTGTGTGCTGGGATGGTTCCTGGGGCGCGGAGGGGGCAAGGGGTGTGTAAGTACAACACACGTATGAGGGCAGGGACTGCTCCCCACACTAACTCATCAGTGTCTGCTCACCAGGGAGTGCACAAAGCCACGAATGAGAGACCCTGGCGTGCTTGCAAGAAAGGGGACTTCTGCTCATTCCCTATTTCCCTATTAAACTTTGCATTGCAAACTCTGCTTTAGCTCTTCTTCCAGCGGGAAAAGAGCAGTCGCTTGTGAAGGCTGTTTTTTTGTTAAAAGCAGTAGCACAAGGGACCCAAAGCACAACCTTCCTCCTGCGTAATTTTACTCTGTTCCAATTCCCAGTGGCTGCTGCAGGACTGGTTGTAACCAAACTATTCAGCAGCACAAGGGCAATTCCTCTGCAGAAACAGCAGTCTGCTACAGATTGCTACTTCATTTTCTTTCACTACAGTTTTTTGCACTAAATTTATGGTCTGTATTATTCTGTTTAATGCTGTGGAGGACAAAGGGCCCTCTGTACTGAGCAACCATATTAAAACATACCTATTAGAGCTCACCCCATGAAAGCAGAGAGGCTGACTGCTCCAGGCCTTGGTGGCAGTTGTGCTGATGTTTCTAGTCTTGAAGATTGCAGGAACCAAGCACAGAACAAGGTCACCATTGTCGGAAAGACTGGAGGTCTGGTGATAGGAGAGCAAGAATGGTGCATGAGGAAAGGCCTGCAGTTCCCTGGCTTGCAGGAGACCATCCAGTTGCCTTCACCTAGGGTGGAAAAGGAGACAGAGTGAAGGCAGTCCCTCCATGGCTTGTTGATAGTTTGTCAAGCAAGAGGCTCCAGTGAACAACTGAGTGTTCACATCATTTCTTTCCTCCAGCACCCAACACTGATTCATAACCTGCATCTCCAGGAATCCCTTCACCTATCTCTGAAGCACGGTCACTGCTTTGCCTTGCAAGGACCAGAAACCTCATTATAGTCTGCTGTTGCAGTGGGTGTAGCATTTTAGCCCTCCCACCATCCCACCGTGGAGGGACTAAGCCCCACTAGCAAAGTGATCTTGGCTGAGCTTCTCTCCTGGACTGACATCCACAGGGTGCCTCTTTCTGCCATGAAGTCATGTGTCAGTGCAAGCAGCTCTGAGAAGATGGATCCAGACCCAAAACCAGATGAGGGCAAAGATCATAGACTCATAGAATCACAGAATGGTTAGAGTTTGAAAGGACCTTACAGATCATCTAGTTCCAGGTGCCATGGGCAGGGACACCTCCCATTAGACCAGGTGGCTCAAAGCCCCATCCAGCTTGATCTTGAACACCTCCAGGGATGGGGCAGCCACAGCTTTTCTGGGCAACCTGTTCCAGTGTCTCACCACCCTCACAGTAAAGAATTTATTCCTGATATCTAATCTAAATCTCCCCTCTTTCAGTTTAAAGGCATTACCCCTTGTCCTCTCACTACGTGCCCTCTCCAGCTTTCTTGTAGGCCCCCTTCAGATATTGGAAGGCTATAAGGTCTCCCCAGAGCCTTCTCTTCTCCAGGCTGAACAACCCCAACTCTCTCAGCCTGTCCTCACAGCAGAGGGGCTCCAGCCCTCTCATCATCTTTGTGGCCTCCTCTGGACCTGCTCCAACAGGTTCATGTCCTTCTTATGTTGGTGGCTCCAGAGCTGGACACAATACTCCAGGTGGGGTCCCACCAGAGTAGAGTAGGGGGGCAGAATCCCCTCCCTCGTCCTGCTGGCCACGCTGCTTTTGACACAGCCCAGGATCTTCAACATCCCAGAGCAAGGGGGATTAGATCACATGCAAAGCAAACCCCTTGCTAGCGGCTGCACGCACACGCAGGTGTAACCACGGAGCCCACAGCTCCAGAACAAAAACACTGACCTGAACGGCAGCCAGATCATTTTTTATGAGAATGCACCATTCTTGAGCAATTTTTCCAGCACATCCCACGCAAACAGGTTTCCCTTGAACCACCGCACGGCAACATTTACCATCTCATGCCAGCTCTTTGTTTTTTCCTACTTGTAAGGGGTGGGAGGGCTCTCATGTATCACTTGGTGCCTCTGTGCTGGCGAGCACGGAGTCTGAGCGGTGTATCCTCAGGCATACAAAATCCAGCACTAAACCATTTCACGTGATCCGTCAGACAAGGTCTCATCTTTCCACAGAAATCCAAGACCTTCAACTTAACGTGTCCTTCCTCTTCTCATCACCACAACAGCCTTCCCAGGAAGGACTAACTGACTCTTCCCAGTTTTCATGCAATGGGTCGCACTGCAGAAGCGGCGTTGATCCCTCAGCACTGGCACTAGCTACTGAGGCCTGTGATATTTTGCTAAATTAGCTAAATTCTTGGTGGTAAAAAAGGGATATGGAAGGAAAATGGGTAGTGTGTGTAAAGTCATGGGCGTAGCTGAAATTTCTGGCCCAACGTAGCCTTGGGCCCACCCTGACCTGGAGTTTGAGCTACTGTGAAAACAGGGAGTTTTTAAGCCCTTATTTGGCCCAATTTGTCAACTTCTACCACACAACAGTAACTCAGGGCAGCCAAGATGTATCACCAGATACATTAATTGTACCTCTTGGTTAGTGGTGAGTGATGAAATGGCCAGAGTCTCTCCCTTCCCACATGGGAGAGCTGGAGGGATGTTTCTGGAGGAGACTGTGTTCTGCTCTGCTCCTTGGCAGACACCCCTCTTTCATCCAAGCTTGCAATCTCATCAGGTCCCTCATTTTGGCATGCAGGAGGGAGGGGGAAGCAGAGACCCCCCCTGCTAGTCTGCCCCTTGGTACCCTGTACGTTGGCCTGATCTGAAGAGCAGCGGAAAAATTGTATTTATTCCAGACAATCTAACAAAAATTCCCCGTGTTCTCTCAGTCCGTAGAAAACTGCTATTCTAGTTCTTCCTTGATCAAATTTGATCGCCCTGAAAAGTCCATTAATTTGAAGCCATCAAAGAAAGGACCGGGGAATATAAAACATCAGCCCCGAATAAAAAATTAGTGGAAATTGAGCATTTTCCTTTATTAGCAATGTGACACACTAAATAATGCTCAGAATTGGCAAAAGCCTAGGGAAAACTGCTTCATCACGCAGTTTTACGAGGGAGAGAAGCAGCAAATCCTATAGTCATGGGAAGGTGGATTGAGCTCTGTCCCTGTGTAACACTAGAGCCAGACTGGGTAACCTGCTGGGTCTCCTCTACTTGTCCCATCACACCTATTTCGGGATATTTGACATA